AAGAAACATTTCAGGATGAAGAGCAGGAAAACAGAAATAACCTATTCCTCTTGTGAGTTAGGGAACAGAGTCCCTGTCCAATTGGTCCTAAAGTCACTGGGTACTTGACCTTGAACTTCAGAGCTTTTAAAAAAGGAAGGTACTTGGCGTATATATATACATTGCAAACTTAGAATTAAGCTCTTGTGCTTTCCTCAAATATTATGAAAGTTCAGCTCAGACTGTTTTCATAGGGTATTGAAATTGGAAATATTTTTTGACTGAGACATTTGACAATTGCCCTTGGCAGAAGTAGGAAATACATTTGTGTATCTTAGTATATGTGGGGACTACCCTTTTTGAAAATTCTGGATGTTTATAACTTACAGAGTCTGGAGAATTACATTCATGTTTTCTTTTCATTGTCATTTACTATCAGTTATTTTAGAAGTTATTTGCTCTGAATATAGAAAGCAAGTAACAGAAGAATTTCAGCCCGTGAGGTTTGTTCTCAGGTTCTAACGATGCAGCACACACTTCATTTTTGATTGTCTTTATTTTACATAGGCTATCAATGTTAGTTCTAGTTTTTAGTATAACAAACAGGAAAGTGGTGAGGACAGAGATGCCAGCAGCTTTGCTAGGATACCGACAGTCAGCCTGAAAATGGAGGCACGTTACAGCTGATCATTTTTATGGAGTATAATACTTCAGTGTTTCAGAGCAGGATAAGCTGTACCAGTTACCCTGTAACTGGAAATATATGTCTAGGCCCCTCTCTCAGGAACTTCTCAGGCTGTAGCTGGTAATTAATTACTAGGAGCCCTGGGCTTCATCAGTGAAGGCTTTGCAGTCTTCTGTGATTTTTTTTCTCTACATTTGCAGCAAAGTTTGCACATCTGCTCTGTCTTTTTGCTGCAAGCTGGGGCAGGGGCAGGCAGGTAGGGAGTACCTGTTTGACAGCAATAGCACAGATGATCAGAGAAAGCATCAGTGTTCTGCTGATGTCAGCCCAGGGTATTTTCTACTCACTAACTTGTCATCTTATACTGCAGCATCCGCAGTGTCCTGACATTTTAGGATTCCCGGACATTAAGCAGCAGATGGCTCAGCACCAGTATGAACTTCACCATCCTCCAACAGAACTTGTATAAATGCAAACCAAGACTTCCCTGAAAGATCTACCACTACCCTTGAATAAAAGGATCAAGCTCAAAGCCCACATTTCAAGCACAGAATTTATAAATGAAACCATCATTTTCCTTCTACCTCTTTCTCTTCATTCTTGTTTTAAATTCTTTATATTGTGCTGCAATTTTTTAGTAGCCAGTTATGAATTACAGGACTTGCTCCTGTCACAGGTGTTATAAAAAGTTTGGATTTTTAAAAATTACTTATCATATGCAATCTTTTAATAAAATATAAAGGAAGAAAACTGCTTCTTTAGGCTTCCATAACACTGCAAGCTTAAGAAATTTGTACTTGCAGTTCAGTATAGTAAAACTCTGGGTTAGAACTGTGTATCCACCCTGAATGACTGTATCATTCCAGTGCCTAATAAGCAAGGAATGATATAGCAGAAATTAAAATTTATGGTGATCATGTGTTTGAATTAATAATTTAAGCAAATCATAGACTTAGGTACTGGAGAATGTCCCACCACTCAGTATTTTACCAGATTAACACTCCCAAACATTTTATGCAAAACTAGCGTGTGGTGGTTTGTATTTGGTCTTTTGGGGTTTTTTTACCTTTATGCCTCTTTCTTGGGGTTTAGTTGTTGATCAGTGGTTTAGGTTTTAGACCTTTGGCCAATTTATACAAGTGCCTCTGATGTTTGGGAAGCAGTGTGAAGAAATATGAATGTGCACCAAGTATTGTTTTTTGTTTCCATTATACAAAGGGGAGGCTTCTTAATTTCTTAAGTATGGATACAGAATAAATGGGAAGAAACAGGTGACTGGTAACAGTTTCCAACAACTCAAACATAAAGCATCTTAGTGTTTTCTGAAACTGCAATGTGGAAACAGGAACAGAGGATATTTCTATCTGGGCAAATATAGTCAAGATTAACATATCTTTAGTATGGACTAATCAGAGCTCAAAGGCACTCAAAGGCATGGCAGCTGGGTAGAAGAGCCTATGAAGCAAGGGGACTGTGCTACTGATAACTTACATATTTGTGTCAGCAAAAAGAGCCTTTGAGTAGCCCAGTTAGTTTAATGATTTGAGGATCAAGAGATTACCGTTTAACAGAAGATCCTGAAACACATCGATTAACTAAATTTACACAACAATTGAGAGCTGAACTTCAGTCCTCAGTGTAAAAGAGCTAAAGTACAACAAACTTTATTTCTATCCTCTTCAGGATGATGCAAAGCCCATTTTTGTGGTTGTCATCTGTCAAGCATAGGAAACACCAGCTGTTAGTATCTTTAGTAGGATAGTTGCTGGAGTCCAAAATAATAAACCCATTACATCATTCTTATTAGGGATATTTTATAAGGCAGCCATCTAGATCTGTCTTCACATGGAGGAATTATGTGTATTCTGACTGGGAAACAACAAAAAGTTCATATGTTCCTAGAGTATTTTGCCCTGCAGACACTCATCAACACTCAGCTGAAGATGAATTTATTTGTGTGATTGTATAGCTTGGACAGAAGGTTTCTGACGGCCCTTCCTAATGACTCTCTGGCTCTGAGGTGCTCCAGGGGATCCAGAAGCTCTGGACAGCTCTTGCAAAGCTCTGTGTAAGCCTCCATTTATGAGCTTTCCTGGGAGCAAATAGAGACCACATGCCCCATCAGAGCACCAACTGTCCATCAGCACATGATGAAACCATGAAAAATCCACAAAAGACATGAAAAATCCAGTAATTTCCCAAGAAACAAACTAACTGCCAGACAAAGCACAAATTGTGTTTCCTCGGACCTTCAACTATGGCAGTGTTTAACTGAACATCACTTGGCCTTGTGTACAACTGAGCACTCCATGTTTCTGTTCTCCCACCACATCCCACCCACCCAGACACTCCCCTAGGAAATGGCACACACTCCAGATCTATTTTCACATGCTTTTAAGATCACACTCCCTGACAATGCATCAAAGCCAAATGATCATTCCCACACAACGTAATTTCCTCCAATGCTTCCACGTTATCAGATGGACACCAGAGATCCCAGTAATAAAAACAAATGTGCGACACAGATACCTGGGAGACAACAAGCCCATGTTTTGTTCAGGGGTTATCACATCTTTGGACAAGTGAAAAAAATTGCTCTGGACAAGTGAATATTTTTTTTCTCTAAGAAGATACATAAATCATACTAGAAGCCATGATAGATTTATTTCTTTTTAATGTAGCACATTCACCAGGCTGAATACTGAAAATCTTTAAAACTTCCTTCTAAAACTCCTTACACCTGGGAAATTATACATCATCATCATCGTTCATGGTCTGATTGAGGCTACCAGAGGTGTGCAAACAAATGTATGGTAAAGTAGAAATTTCTTGGGAAAAGCTGCTAAACATCCCTGTTTATCTGAAATACAGATAAAAATTTTCCACAAGAGCATGTCTGCTCAAGAGCCAGCTGCTCAGCTCCAAGATAGGAGCATGTCATCACCTAGAGGCTGGGTTGACGAGCAGGGCTGGGGAACTGAATGCCAAGCAGCACTTCCATGTGACTGGGACCACTGTCACACCACAGGGCTGCCATGCTCTGTGCAAGAGCTCAGACAGCTGCTGGGGCAGGATAGAGCAGCTGGGCTGCATCCCCGAGGCCGGAGATGGATTCAGGGAACTTGACACCTGGGGACTTGGCCTGCCAGTTCTGAGTCCTACAGCTGCTACCAACCTTCCTCCCTCAGCCCATGAAACAGGGCTGGGATATTCAATAGCAAGCACCAACATGTTATAAATGAGAGACAAAAGTCTCAATATTTAGTAAAATTTAGATGGTTTTATTTGATATAGAAAGAATAAGCAGCGTGCTAGTGAATGTGAGGGGTTACTGTTTATTTTATGTTTTATTGAACCTTGGTTTGTAGGTTTTTTTAATATTATGGTTTTTTTGTTGCAATTAATAATTTTTGGTTTTTTGTTGTTATAATTTTGCTAGGTAAGCAGTGGTGGTTGAATAAACATTTTTATACAAATTTACAAAGTTTTTGGGTGATAATTAGTTACAGATAGCTATCTGGTTTTTGTAGATAACCACCAGAGAAGTTTTGGAACTCTAGTCTTTGAGATAAGCAGTATTGATCAGACAAAGGCAGGAAGGGCTATTTGGAAGTCTGATTTTGCAAGCTGGTAGCTGATACAACTTATTTGGAAAACATAACATAATATAACGTAACATAATACAACATAATATAACATAACAAGGTGATTTTAAACAGAATTATTTTATTATATAATTTTTTTAATCTAGTGTTCATGCTTCACTTCAGAGCTTACTATTCTGGTTTATACAAACCCCTATGCTTTTGTGATTAACACGAATCTTTTACCAATTATCACAAACACAAACCTCTGCAGGCAGTCGGCCGAACACATAAACATGGAGCTGACATCTTCCCAAACATAGCAGCAGTTCCCAAATACATACTGTGCTTGTCATAGCCTGGTCCTCCAACAAGCTGCTGCTCATCCTGCCTCCCCTATATATCACCTTGTCCAATGCCTCAGCAGAAAACAGCTCTGGGGCAAGATGAAGAGCCCAGGGGGTATGAACCAAAAAAACTGGTTACGCAGGAGTGATGAAAATATGTCCTTGGAAAAAAACCAAACCTTTATTGACAAGCCCTCCCCTTATTACTCTAGAGAAAATAGCAGCAATAATGCAAACAGTAAAGCTTCAACCTAAGAGGTGGTGTGGGTTTGTCCATCCCACCACGTTTTCATTGCCTTTTTTTTTTTTTTTTAATTTTTAACCTCTTTGCAAATATCTTAGTGTGAATGGCCAGCAGGTCGAATGCTCCAACGTGGCAAAAAGGAGACGCCAAGGAAGCCCCAGCAGTGCCAAAAAATCTCCTCCCTCCACATCTGCCGGAAGCGATTCAAGGCGAAAAAAATCTCTCTGAGCTCTCTGAGCCTTTAAGGTGGGTAGAGCAAGGAATGACCCAAGGGCAGAGTAACTGATAAAAGCCTCCCTGGAGGACTTCTGCCCCCATCCATCTCCCTGCCGCTACCCAGCTCCTCCCCTCAGCTCTCCCTGGGCTCCTCAGCATCCAGCACCCGACACAGATTAACCAGCGCTCTCCAGCGACGGTGCCGCACCGGGACTGCTCCCGCTCCAAGCCTGGGGGATTCTGCAACACGCGGGGGCAGCAGCTTCCCTCCAGCCTGCGGCAGCGACGGACACAGCTCTGCTAAGACCACATGGCCACTGCGGGAAAAGTAAGGACATGGCATTTCCCCTCCTCCTTCCCGAAGGAAGGAATGCGAAATGCGCTGCAACAGGCTCAGCCTGGACACCACTCTGCATAGCCTCTTTCCTCCGACCTCGCTCCCCCACCTCTTCCAAACCTCTGACAATTTCACCAGATTCTGCTTTCGGACAACTGCACTGTCCATACCTGCACTGGGCAGTGCATTCCCCCTCTGTCCTGCCCAGCTGCTCAGGAGACAAAATCTAGAATTGTGCTGCTCTGCAAAACACTCTCCTGCTCAATCCCACTCTGTCCTCCTGCTCTGGCAGCAAAAAAGAGCTCTTCAGTGGTGCCCTCTTCAGCCACTCATTTCCTGCACCCAGCCTTGTCCATGGCAGCACCCTTTTCAAGCTACAAGCTCCATCCTGCTGATGTCAAACTGCTTTGAGTCGATTGGCACAGGGTTTGAGCAATGTCACACACAAATCATCCTTTTGGCAAGGACAGAAATTATCCATTACCAGCCAGGCTAGGACTCTTTTGTAACCTCTTTTTAGGTACCTTCAGCCCACTGAAACTAAAATTCTGTCCTGCCTGCCTTAAGCTGCAGAAGCACTCATGTTGCTGTCACATCTGCCCCATACACCAGATGAACCAGTCACTTCATTTTGCATTTCACACTTCACAATAAGCCAGTGTTTACTGAACATTGCTTGGTTTCACATAAAGCTGAGTATTCCAATGTTACTGCTCTCCCACCACATTCCACCCAACCAGCAACTCCCAGAAAACAGCACAAGACAGATGTGTAGCTCTAGAAGTGTGTGCTGCAGTGTGCAGAGATACACCTTGTGCAGCTCTGGCTTTAGTGACTGTAGGACAACTGTCCTGGCCTTTTGTCAAAGATGAACCTTTCCATGCAATGTATTCCTGTCGGTTGTTTCCAGGTTATCAGGTGCAGGGCTGCCATTGCCTGGGCCCCCAACAAACCGCTCTCTGTTGAGGAGGTGGAAGTTGCACCTCCAAAGGCAGGAGAAGTCCGGATCAAGGTAAAAATATATTTTATTAATATTTTCTGCCTTATGGGAGTTGCTCTTCTTGTGGCTGTACCTTGGATATAACCAAGTGATCTGTGTCCACCCATGAGCCTTAACTGTCCAGAGAAGTTCTGTGGAAAGTCCTTCCATAAACTGAGATAAACAGAGGCTGCACAATTTCTAGAAATCACCATTTATTCTTTTCTCTCCAAACAGATTGTGGCCACAGGCATCTGTCACTCAGATGATCACGTTTTGAAAGGTTCCTTGCCTAATGTAGAATTCCCAGTTATACTAGGCCATGAAGGAGCTGGAATTGTGGAAAGCATTGGAGAAGGTGTGACCTCAGTGAAACCAGGTAACCAACACACAAACACACACTCAGGATTCATGCCTCAAAGCTCTGCCAAGAACTCAGAAACATCCCCATGCCCATGATTCAGTGGTCAAAAACTGAGTGCACACTCATTGCACTAGGCTCTCGTGGTCCACTTTCCCAATTGTTCCTCATGTAGAAAAATAGGACCTGGAGCATTCATCCTCATAGGGAAAGCAAAGGGTTTGGTTGCTTTCTGCCCTCAGAAAGCTCAGAAGAGGCGATACCACAGGCAATGCCCTCAAGGCCTGCGGAGCAAAAGGTACCTAATAGAGATTCATTTTGTTGCAGGTGACAAAGTGATCCCCCTTTGCCTCCCACAGTGTGGGGAATGCAGCTATTGCCAGAATCCTGAATCCAACTACTGCCAGAATTCCCAGTGAGTTTGCTTTGCCTTCCCCTACACTTACATGGGGTTGACTTTATGACAAGTCTGACACCCCTATCAGTGCTTTACTCAATCAAATAT